AGACCCTAGTAACATACACACACACAAAATAAATAATAATAAACACATCTAGAAGAGTGAATAGCAGTTCTTCCTAGGACCTGCATTTTCCCCCTATTAACTTGCTATTTCCCTATTTCCTCTCTTCTCTCCATATTTTTTGTCTCTCACTCCTATTCCCAGATGCCACTTTCCACCCACCAGCACTGTTCTTAACTATCTCTTTTGCCTCAGGAAATTACAGTTTAAGAACACAATTATTTAACTTTTGAGACTCAGTCCTTTAGTCTTTAACACAGGGATAATGACAACATAAAACTTATGTGGCATTTCTTAGAAATGTATTAAATAGATGAAAAGAAATTTGTATCATGGCTGGCAACATAGATGCCCAATAAGTGGAGTTTGTTCTTATGCTAAAATAAAATGCTGAGGAATAATTGGGAGCCAGTCATTGGTACCTTTGGAAATCTTGACTTGGGCTTCCTCTTTGGCAGTAGGAAAGGGCTATTATGGGAGGGCCCTTGTCATATGGAGTCATGAAAGAGCAGAATTGTGGACAGTGGGAGGTGATTGGCTTTGTCCTTGTTCATTCCAGCTGGAAAGCTGTTTTAGGGAAAGAATTTGAGAATAGATCTCCTTCTTTCTGTAATTGAAAACGAAAGCCACAGCTGGCACTGGTGGTACATGCCAGTAATCCTAGCTACCTGGGAGGATCTCGATTCAAGATCCAATCTCCAAAATAGCCAAAGCAAAAATGGACTAAAAGTGTGGCTCAAGCAATAGAGCACCTGCTTTGCAAGTGTGAAACCTGAAGTTCAAACCCCAGGCTCACAATAAGTAAATATATACTTACATGCATGCATACATACATACATAAAATAAAATGAAAGCCATAAGGAATAAAATACATAAGGCACAAAATCATTCCTGCCTGGCTACAATAGAACAGGATAAAGGAAGCTTAATGCTCTCTGGGTCTTTGGCTTTTGCTACCATCCAGCAGACCCATCTAAGAGACTGGCTGCCTGATGTACCAGGCTGCAGCTTGTTCCTACTACAAAATCTGCGTGATGTCCATTGAGATTTTTTGAAAAACAAAATAAGCAAATTCCCTTGTATTGTCTAATCTCAGATAATTTTACCCCCGAAAATAAGATTTTTCTTTGTGTGTGTGTGTGTGTGTGTGTGTGTGTATGTGTGGTCTGGGGTTTGAACTCAGGGCCTACACCTTGAGTTTTTTTGTGGTGATTTTTTTCAAGATAGGGTCTCAACAGCTATTTGCCCGGGGTTGGCTTTGAACTTTGATCCTCCTGGTCTGTGCCTTCCGAGTAGCTAGGATTGGGCTGGGATGTAGCTCGGTAGTACAGCTCTTGCCTAGCATGCTCGAGGCCCTGGGTTCAATCCCAGCACCAAAAAAGAAAAGACAAAAAAAAAAACAAAAAAAAAACTTCTCCCTGAGTAGCTAGGATTACAGGGTGAGCCACCAGTGCTCAGCTTATTTATTTTTTTAATTTTAATATGCTCGGAAAAGATAGTTTATCCAAGATCTCTTTGTCAATGACAGACAGTAAAGCTGTTTCCTCAAACCACAATATATACCTTCATAGAAAAACTGTTTGGAGCCCCATGCCTGTAATCCTAGCTACTCAGGAGGCAGAGATCAGGAGGATCATGGTTCGAAGCCAGCCCAGGCAAACAGTTTGCCAAACCCTATCTCAAAAAAACCCTTCACAAAAATAGGGCTGGTGGAGTGGCTCAAGGTGAAGGCCCTGAGTTCAAGCCCCAGTACCGCAAAAAGAATACTATGTTTGGAGTCAAAGGAAATCTTGATTTATCCCACCAATAGACAGTGGATTTGTTTTAGTGGGCACTAGGCTTTTTGTCATGGCCTTTTTTCTTTGCAGCACTGGGGCTTGAATTCAGGTTCTATACTTTGAGCCACTCTACCAGCCCTTTTTTCTGATGGTTTTTTTTTTTTTTCTTTTATTCATAGGTGCCTGATGGGTTTTTTTGAGATAGGGTCTCAGAAACTATTTGCCAGGACTGGCTTTGAACCATGATCCTCCTCATCTCTGCTTCCTGAGTAATTAGGATTATAGGCATGAGCCACCATCGCCCAGTTTTCTTTCTTTTTTTAATCACTGAAAGAGAGCATGGGCAGTCTATGTCATACTAACTTCATGACTACTCTATGACTTGGCCTGTGAACTGTAACTAAATCACATAGACTCCAAATAAGAAATGGGGAAGAATGTAAAGTAGGATTGACATGGGAGATGATGTTTTACATGTAAAATTTCAAACTGGATGTTTCTCCTGGGTTATCAAAATATGATAATGAAATTCCAAAGGGAGATGCCAAATAGAAATGAAAAAAATTAAAATTTCCAAGGACCAGCTCTACACAACTTTTGAACCCTTTCATCCATTTCTTTTTTTCTTTTTTCTTTTTTTTTGGCGATGATACTAGGGTTTGAATTCAGGGCTTTCATACTTGCTAGGCAAGCTCTTTACCACTTGAGCTATTCCACCAGCCTTCATCCATTTCAAGATTATAAAAAATGGAATAGTTTGTTTGTTTTACAAAAGAGCATTCTTAGCTGAGTGTACTTTCTGTAATCCCAGCATTTGGGAGACTGAGGTAGGAGGATTTTGAAATCAAAGCCAGGAGAATTTTGAGATCAAAGCCAGCTTGAGATACATAGCAAGACCCTGTCTCAAAAAACAAAATACAAAAAACAAGTGCTAGGGAGGTAACTCAGTGGTTAAGTGCTAACCTAGCTCAGGATCCTGGGTTTGATCCCCAGCACCACACAAACACACAATGTCTTTGGAGAGAGAGTTTATGCCATGCTGTGAGCCCCAACCAATCCCATGGAGAAGAGATAAAGGGGAATTCCCTCTTCTCAAACCTAGGAAAAGGGGCTTCAAAAGGGCAATCCTCCTGATCTCTGCCTCCTGAGTAGCTAGAACTATAAGTGTGAGCCACTGGTGCCCAGCTTGCTTTTTGTTTTTGAGACAAAAATCTCACTATGTAGCTCAGGAGGGCCTTGAACTTGCAATCCTCCTGCCTCAGTCTCTTGAATGCTGGGACTACAGAAGTGTACCACTATACCTATCTAGGTCAGCATTACTTTTTTAAAAATCTTTCTTAGCATATATTAATTGCACAAAGGGATCACCTTTATTTCTTGCCTGTCATGTTGCAGTAGCCTAATTTATTTCTTTGCCTCCAATTCTTTCTCTTTTAATTCATTCTAAAGGCCACAATTAGGGCTGGAGGCATGGCTTAAGTGGTAGACTGATGGCCTAGCAAGCACGAAGTACTGAGTTCAAGCCTCGGTACTGCCAGAAAAAATTTTAAAAATCCAGAGTTAAGAGTAATAAAACTAAATTAGAGCACACAGCATAATATTCTAGTGTCAGTGGTTCTCAAGTGCCTACAAAAGTTCAAAGCTCTCAGTAATATGGTCCCACTCCACTTTTATAAGCCTTTATACATCTCATGTTAGTGAACACTCAGTATTCATTCAACAATGGAGCATTTGCTATGGGTCAGGCATGACTATGGTGACAAAGGGAAGTAGAAGGTGGGTGCTGGTGGCTCACGCCTGTAATCCTAGCTACTCAGGAGGCAGAGATCAGGAGGATCGTGATTCAAAGCCATCCTGGGGAAATAGTTCATGAGACCCTATCTCGAAAAAACCCATCACAAAAAATGGGGCTGGTGGAGTGGCTCAAGGTGTAGACCCTGAGTTCAAGCCCCAGTACTGAAAAAAAAAGTTGTTGATGCCTCACATACAGTATTCTCTCTCACATAATGCTGTTGTGTGCATGGTTAGAAATTCCTTAGAGTACTTCTTATTCACTAGCTACAAAAGGATTCCCTCCATCCTCCCTACCACGTTGTAAATCTCTCTAATTCTAGATCCTACTGCCAAACATAATTGTTTGGTATGGGCTCCCTACCTTTTTTAAAATTTATTTTGATGGGACTAGAGCTGAACTCAGGGCTTTGAGCTTGCAAAGCAGGCGCCCTACTACCGTTTGAGCCACAACTCTGTCCCCATCTCCTTATTAAACTGTGATACTTGATTGGATACCTTTCCTGCTTATGTTCCTCACTTGGTTCTCAAATTTTAGTTATGATTGTTACACATTTTAACAAAGAGGTTGTTTCAATTAATATTAACTGACATACATGGCCTAACAGGATCCTTGTTTTGGGGATTTATCCCTAAGGTCAAATGTGCCTTACTATCAATACAAAAATAAATGGTGTTAACACTCTCAGAAGAGGTTCTACTGAAGTAAGGCTTATATGTAAATAGCACCAGAAACTGGAAGAGGGATGGGGTATGGGAGATAGTAAGGAGGCAGGAATAAAGCTTAGCTGAAGAACAATTTTACTTAGTCCACTTATACATAAATGGGTTCTTTATGGAAGTCCGTGAAGTGTCTTCGTTTACATTTTTTGACGTTTTAAACATTTCAGCGGGAGATGTCAAAAATAACCAGGTCCTCAACAGTGCCTTCTTATTTATGCCCATCATCCAAGACTTGTTCCCTATCCATCACGGAACTTTCCCAACCTCTTGCCTCAATCTCTCAACGGGTTAAGACGGTTTGGGCAGAGGTGTGGCTCTGGTGGGTACAGAGCCTGCCTAGCAAGCACAAAGCCCTGAGTTCAAACCTCAGTACCGCCAAAAATAAAGACGGTTTGGTTAAAAAGCAACAAAAACTCCAGCACAAAAGAAACTGGGGCCACCGAATCAGGACTAGGCACGAGGACGCCCCGAAGGCGCAAGGGTAGACGATCTCGAGCCCAAAACCTAGGCTCTCACAGCAGCCGTTAGTAACGGGCAGAGGCCGGCCCGACCGGAAGGCCGGCTCGGCCGGGCCCGCCCAGCTCGGTGCAGTGCGCAGCTGTCCGGAAGCTTCCGCCCCTTTTTCCCTTTTATGGAAATTTTTTATTTTTTTCTTAGTTTGACGCCACAGCGTCGGACTGCCTAAATCCACGACCTAGGACAAACTCTCCCAGTCCTTACTTCCGCTTCCTCCAAGTACTGAGTTGGGGCCTCCCCCGTTTTTCGAGCAGAGGTGGCAGCCAGTGCCCTGCGATGTTTGGCCTCAAGAGAAACGCGGTAATCGGACTCAACCTCTACTGTGGGGGTGCTGGGCTGGGGGCCGGTAGCGGCGGCGCCACCACCCCTCCGCGAGGGCGGCTTCTGGCCGCGGAGGAGGCCTCGGCCCGGCGAGAGGTAGGGGGAGGGGAAGCCGGTGCGGTGATTGGCGGCAGCGCAGGCGCGAGCCCCCCGGCCGCCCTGGCGCAGGACGCCCGAAGGGTCGCGCGGCCGGCGCCCATTGGCGCCGAGATCCCCGACGTCACTGCGACCCCTGCGAGGCTGCTGTTCTTCGCGCCCACCCGCCGTGCGTCGACGCCTAAGGAGATGGAAGCCCCGGCCTCCGACGCCATCATGTCGCCCGAAGAGGAGCTGGACGGCTACGAGCCGGAGCCTCTCGGGAAGCGGCCGGCTGTCCTACCCTTGCTGGAGTTGGTCGGGGAGGCCACTAAGAGCCCCAGCGCGGACGGGTCACTGCCCTCAACGCCACCCCCAGCAGAGGAGGAGGAGGACGAATTGTACCGGCAGTCGCTAGAGATTATCTGCCGGTACCTTCGCGAGCAGGCCACCGGCGCCAAGGACGCCAAGCCAATGGGCGGGTCTGGGGCGGCCAGCAGGAAGGCGCTGGAGACCCTGCGACGGGTCGGCGACGGGGTGCAGCGCAACCACGAGACGGCCTTCCAAGGTAAGGCGTCGGTCAGCCACCCAGGGCGGGTGGAAACCGAAACGAGGCGGTGTTGAAAGAGCTTTATCCTGTTTCTGAAACCAGAATATTCTGGCCATGAGTCATTGTTTCCGCCCAACTTGGTTCTTTTGGAAATGGCAGCTCTGTTTAAAGGCCGGAAAGGGTGGGATGTCAGTTTTGTAGTGGGGTCGGCGGAGTCCTAAGAGGCCACATAGCGATTTCCCCACGCCGCGGGTGGGCAGGCGAGCCGAGCCCTGGTCTAGACAAAAGGAGGCCGTGAGGACTGCATGCTTTTCTTCTTCTCAGGCATGCTTCGGAAACTGGACATCAAAAATGAGGACGATGTCAAATCTTTGTCTCGAGTGATGATCCATGTTTTCAGTGACGGCGTAACAAACTGGGGCAGGATTGTGACTCTAATTTCTTTTGGTGCCTTTGTGGCCAAACACTTGAAGAGCATAAACCAAGAAAGCTGCATTGAACCATTAGCAGAAAGTATCACAGACGTTCTCGTAAGGACAAAACGGGACTGGCTAGTCAAACAAAGAGGCTGGGTAAGTCTGTCTTCAGGTCGAAGGGGGCCTTGGCGTGGAAACGGAATGAAGGATTTTGTGGAGAAAGTGGGGATCGCTGAAGGCTTTTTACCTGCTATTCCCAGTCTGCAAAGCTCTAACTTACAGATCTTTGGTTGCCTGGTATTGATTTAAGTAGAGGATAGATAGAAAAAGTATTGGTTGTCTTAATTGTGTCAGAAGCCCCGGTTTTCTGTAAATTACTCTTGTAATTCAGTTGGGTATTGGGTAATCTGCAGACCAGTGGATTCAAACCATGAAGATCACTTGGGGGTGATAATTAAAATCCATTGCTAAGGGGCCCCTCATTTTAACTATGGGGTGGAGCTTGTATTTTAAGCATAACACTCAAGTGGTTCTAATGCAGGATGTACTTACCCATCATGGGGAAAAGCTAATATAGTTATGTGCTACTTGGTGGGGATTTGAGCATAGTGAGAGGGTTTTTGACTTTCACCTAAATAGTAGGAACTCTCAAAAGTTCTTTAATTTAGGTTGTGCTAATATTGTCAAGATAGTACCGTAAAATCAAGTTTTAACTGCTGTGGGTGCTCAGTTACTGAAGAATTCCAGGAAAAAAAATTATTATAATTATTTTTTTTCAGCCGTGGAGTGAATATTGGTTCATTATTGTTACGGTGAAAGTGTTTTTGGATGTTTCTAATTAATTTTTTTTCTCTGTATGTAGTGTTAAGACAGCGGAAACCCATACTTGAAAATGTGCTTTTCTTTTTTGTTTCCTAGGATGGGTTTGTGGAGTTCTTCCATGTAGAGGACCTAGAAGGTGGCATCAGAAATGTGCTGCTGGCTTTTGCAGGTGTTGCTGGAGTAGGAGCTGGTTTGGCATATCTAATAAGATAGCCTTGTAAGTGCAATAGTTGACTCTTAAACAACTCCAGCCACCAGAACCATATACATCTGTGAAATCAAATGTATTTATGAACTTGGACTTCAAGCTGACAAGGCTGTAACCTCCAAGAATTCCACTCTAGCAACTAGCCAGAAAGCAAGTGGCAAGAGGATTATGGCTAACAAGAATAAATACACAGGAAAAGTAGTCTTCCTTGAAGACTCACTGTCTGAAAGAAGCAAACTTCACTTTCAGCAACAAGCAAACTTTGATTGCGAGGCCATGGATGAGGACATAGATTTAGTGAATATGGTGGGGTAAAAAGACTTGATTTCCTTGTCTAGAACCAGAAGAATGGCCAGTAACCAGGCTAGTCATAGAATTCATTAAATATGTCCACCAAATTCATTAATTTCCTATAGTGTTAAAAGAGAAGCACTAACAATGGCAGTGATCTGTGTAAAGTGAATTTAAGCTACAACTAATCAAACTATGACTTGGAAGCCTCAGTACTGTACAACAGCGTAAGAAGGGAAGCTTCTTTCTTTACCGTTAGCTTTCCCAGGTATACTTCTTGAAGACAAAGTGTTCAGGACTTTCATACCTGTTCTACTTTGGCTTGGTTTGAATGATTCTTAGTTTATTAGCCTAGTAATGGCCAAGAATACTTGACTTAAAATTGACAAATTTGTTAAAAATACGGGATATCCTCAGTTTTTAAGACAAACAACTTGTAAATCTATTTGTCTGTAAAAATTGTATATATTTTTACAGAGTTTATTTCTTTGAACAACATAAAGGGAGGGAAATCTCGAATTTAGTTTTTTCATACCCTTTTGAAATTTTCAACTTCTGTAGTTAGAAATCTATTTCTTACAGCTTTTCTAAACTTTGTCTTGGTCTGTTCTAGAACATATACAGAAACAATTGATGTAAGTGTATGCAACCTGGTTATAGTGGAACAAATATGATTCATAACTGTGTGAGCTTAATTTTCCAATCTAATTTTGGTAAGTATTTTTTAGATAGGTTTTTCTTTGAAGACCTATGATTGAAAGGTTGATGAATGAAAATTAGCCCTTTCACTTTGTTACGTGTAGATTTTCAAAAATTGAGTGAAAATGGAGTTTAAGGTTTGGTTGGGGTTGGAGTGGGCTGGTGACTTTAAAATAATGGGCTCTGATTAGGCAACCACTCACTGGAGTTTCTTCCATTTCACCTTATTCAGTGAAACTTTAACTGAATATATGTGCTCATCTTTAAAGCTTTTACTGAAAGATTTTCAGCTGTTCCAAGTGGGACTTAACTAGCATTGTGTGTATAAAAAGATCACATCAGGTGGATGAGAGACATTTGATCCCTTGTTTACTTAATAAATGGTAAAATGATGGCTTGGAAAAGCAGGCTAGAGTCTAACCATGGTGCTATTATAGGGCTTGCTTGTTAAACACAGGTTTAAGCCTGGTATTGTCAATAAAACCTTCTTACTGTTTCTTTTCTATTATTCCCAAGCTTTGAGTTTTTGCATTGGCATCTCTTTAGCTTGTCAGCCCTGATGTGCTGTTGAACTTAACTTTTGTCCCTGGCCTTCCTTGAGATAGTTGTTGCTTACTCTGTTCCTCTACAGATACTTATGGTTTTCCATATCTTTACCCCCTGCCATCCCTGAACTCCCAAGCCCTTGTAGTTTTCCCACACTATGAGCCCCCCCCCACCCCCTACTTGGAACCCACCCATCTTAACTCCCAGGAGTCAACAGACCTTCATCTTTCATGAAGTCATAATTACCTTGTTGGGAGTGTAATAGCTCCTTCATGAGGGCTATGACAGTAACAGTTATGGGAGTGGGACAAGTCCCTTTTATTTGGTGTCTTTTCAGTTGCTTTACCCTATCTTTGGTGGGGAAGTTTCAGAAGCCCTCTTAGGAATTTTCAGAAGTGGAAACAACGTCTTACCTGACTTGCTTTGACGTTTCCCTTGCGTTTGAATATGCTCACTTACAAGGAGGTGGGCTCTGTTAAACCTCAAAGAGTAATATAAAAGCTGGTGAACTGAAAAAAAAGCTTCTATGGCAGAACTAGGGTCATTTGAAAGCTTCAGCCTCAGAATGTGACCTTTAGTCTATGGACTCCAGATAAAAATAGGCATGAATAAAATGACCAAGAATGTAATGGGGAAGAATTGCCCTGCCTGCCAGTCTTGGAGCCATAAGGTCATCTTGTAAGAACTATTTTTACTTATGTATTTATCGTTCTTGATCATAAACCACTTATTTATATCATGTCTTTCTAAGGATCGAAAAGCACTTTATATAGTTTTAATTAATCTTGGGAAGATCTTGTTACAGTGACTAAAAGGCCTGTCTCCCCATACCCAGTTGTGGAAATAAAAAGTGCAGAGATGTGAATTGGTGTTTAGGAGCCCTGCTGAAATACAGACAGGATCTTAGTTAATGGTGTAGGTTCAGGATAGTGAGGGCTTAGGGCGCCCAAGTGGTTTGGGAGGGGGGGGGCAGTTGATTTATAGGGGGAAGAGGCACGTGTTCTAAGTGCTGACTAGGCTGCATAGTTGAGGCACATCCTCCAGAGTGGAAAGGGAGGGGCTGCTTGGAAAGATGGCTCTCTCAGCAACTTCTGTTTGTCTTACACTTCTCTCAGGGAAAACCATGGGGTCCGTGTATGTTCTGTTGGGGGTGGGGGGAACACCTTGGTTCTGGTTAAACAGCTGGTGTTTTTGACAGCTGTGCCAGGAAGGGTTAGGACCAACTACAAACTAATGTGGGTTATAAAATGTAGTAATGTTTCCTAACTTCCTGTTCTTCCTGAGAAAAAAAATAAATCTTTTTTTTTTTTTTTCAAATGTGAGGTGTGGTATGGGTCTTTTCTAATCAACACCTTTCTTTTCAGCAAGTCTTTTAGGGAAGTCAGCTGAGCAAATATGTACAGATGAATTAAAAGCAAAAATCCAACAAAGCTGATTTGCCTCCGAGCAAAGGACAGTTCTTTTAATTTGAATTAGAGGTGTTATGTTTGTAATTAAATTCATTATTGCTGCATTTTGGAGTAGTTCCTTTTTTATTTTTTGAGGCAGTCTCACTTACATAAACTAGGTTGCCTAAACTCCATCTGCTGGCCTACTGTCGTGATTATAGGCATGCGCTTTTCCTTCTTTTTTTGGTGTGTGGTGCTAGGGGATCGAACCCAGGCAGGGCCTTGCACATGCTAGGCAAGCAGTTTTATCACTTTTTTGCCAGTACTAGGGTTTGAACTCAGGGCTTCATTATTACTAGGCTGGCACTTGAGCCACTCTGCCAGTCCTTTTTTGTGTTGGGTATTTTCTAGCTAAGGTCTGAAGAACTATTTGCCTCAGCTGACTTTGAACCTTGATCCTCCTGAGTAGCTAGGATTACACACATGAAGCCACTGGGACCCGGCCCTCCTGTACTTTCTAATACAAAAATCAAAGGGTCTGTTCTGAATTTTCTTTGAGTTACCAAGTGTTGGTATATTTTTGAGGTAGGTTCATTACAGAGCTTGCTCCATAACCTCCTATCTTTTGAGTTGAAGAACAGAAGTACCAACTTCAAGAGTTCCTGGTATCCTCAAGTGCCTTTCACCTTCCCTCTCCCAAAAAAGAATAAGCAGGTCAGTTTCAAAAGTATCCTCCCTTGGTTTTCAGGGACCTTGAAAGGGAGCTGAATCACCATGGAAATGTGCAAATGTGAGGTTTGCATACTAGTTTTCAGCCCTGAGCCCTAAATGCTAATCATGCAAATAATTCTGTAACTTCTCCCACTCAATTTTGTCTGTATTTAAACACACATCTCTTCCTTCTAAAGTCTCACTATCAAAAGGCAGCAACTTCTTATCATTACAAAGAAAGTTGCTTTGTACAAATGCATTCTCAAGCAGAGGGGTGATTAGAGAATAACATCCATGGAAGATACTTAAAAGACCCCAAACCTTGCCTGTGTCAAAAACTGCTCAGTACAGTGGATCCCATTAAGGTATTGTGATGTGAAGTGGTTTCTATGGCAGCACTCCATAGTTCAATGCCTTAAAAAAACTTAGATTATCCGGTGCCTGTGGCTCACACCTGTAATCCTAGCTACTCAGGCAGAGATCAGGAGGGTCGAGGTTCAAAGCCAGCCTGGGCAACTAGTTCTCAAGACACCTATCTTGAAAAAACCCATCACAAAAAAGGACTGGTGGAATGGCTCAGGGTGTAGGCCCTTAGTTCAAACCTCAGTACCAAAAGGAAAAAAAAAGATTAAAAAAGAGCATTTTGAGGAGCATTAGAGCTTGCTTTGTAAGCGTGATGCCCTGAGTTCAAGTCCTAGTCTCACCCTAAAAAAGAAAAAAGATGGGCACCAGTTTCTCACACCTGTAATCATAGCTACTTTGGATGCAGAGATCAGGAGGATCCTGATTCAAGGCCAGCTTGTTCAAAAAAACAAGACCCATCTCAATACCCAACACAAAAGCTAGTGGAAAGGCTCAGGTGGCAGGAGTGAGCCCATGAATTCAAACCCCAGTACCACCCCTAAAAAAAGCCATGTTTGATAGTGCACATCTATAATCCCATCACTGGGGAGACTGAGGCAGATTAAGAGGTCATGGCCAGGCTATGCTTCATAGCAAGACCCTGACTCAAAAAGCAAACTTGGATCAGATAGTAACTGGGTAATCTGAATTGCTAGAGGACTGGGTAATCAACACTTAACCTTTATTTGACACAAACTTTGAGGTTTTATTTTTTGAGACTGTCTCACTATATAGCCCAGGATGGCCTTAAATTCATACACACATACATGCTTGGGATTGAACCCCGGGCCTCACTCTGCCACTGAGCTATATCCCTTTTACTTTCAGTTCCTGTTTTGTGACTATTCGGGCGTGTAGGGTGCCGGGGTTTAAAACCCCACATATGCCATGAACAAGATCTACACAGCTTCATGTGCACCCCACCCCTGTTTTGTGACTTTAGAGCCAGGTCTTTGTGCTGTTTTAAGAAAAATTGTAGACCTGAGGCATTAGTTGGAGTACTTGTTTAGTAATTTGTAAGGCCTTTTAATCCCCAGCACCCCACCAAAAAAAATTTTTTTTTAAACAGTTGTGACAGCTGGAGGACTTTACAGAAATTCTACAACTGGTGTATAGCCTGACTTCAGCCAGATGCCCAAAGCACAGGCCGTTAGTTTCTGGAG